GCATACCCGATAGCATAACCAGGTAGCATGTATATAGCATACCCGATAGCAATTAGATAGCATTAATTGACGACGGTATCGCATTTCTGTCGTCACGACACATGATGACAAATTCATAAACCATTCGTCACTCGAATGACGACGAACTTGTAAACCAATCGTCACTTGAATGATGATGCATATATGTCCCCGTCGTCATTTGTCATCGATCACTAATATATCTCTGACGACGCAAACGTGAATTGTTCGTCACTTGAATGACGGAGCGAATACTAATATATCTCTGACGACGCAAGCGCGAAACAGTCGTCACTCGAATGATGACAGACATATGATCCCGTCGTCAGACATAACCTAGATTAAGTGGAAATAACATAATTATGTTATTTCCACTTTGGGCGATTAATATTATTTAAAGGATAAATCTATTTGTGCTATTTGTGGCAAGCTATTTTTGTAACTGATCAATTAAAACTTGATAATATCCATTGCAATAAAGAAATTTATATAGTCTGTTATTTTTATGAAGCCATATAGAGAACTTATTAATAAACCGAATTAAATTATACCATTCATCATATTTAATACCAAGCACATAGTTTATTTAAGAAATTTCTATTGATGCTATTTTAATTACAACTTATTAATAAAAATTACACTATTCATCCCTATAAAAAAATAGATACAAAAATAATAAAGAAAATTTACAGAATATACAGAGTAATTACATTATATAATAAATTAATCTAATAAATATATTAAATAGATACAGAATTTGCAAAATGTAGCAGTTACCCTTTTATTTTGATAGACGCTTTATAAGTAGTTACTGAAATTTCTTCTGTCAGAGTTAAAAAAAATTTTATGAGATACCTTCTCAAAAATTTATTTATTTGATACGATAATATTTTATCATTATCTTAATATTTGCATAAATACACAACATGAATGAATAAAAATCAAAAAGAAATAGAAGCAAAAAATGAACCACTATTACAATAAAAGAATTAACAAAATGACAAAAGATAAAAGTACTATCACTAAAGTGACAAAAAAAACTTCTACAAAGTAATACCACTAAAGTTACGGAAGAACCACTACCAAGACAGCGAAAGACTCACTACTAAAGTAACAAAAGAACTACAAAAAACTGATAAAGAACTATCACTAAGGAACAATAAAGTAAGATAAAAATGTATTCAAATTAAAAAAAGAACAAACTTGAAATTAATCTATCAAATACCTATTCAAAAAATAATTATTTGCAACATAAATTAAATTACTTAATGAAATAAATTGATTCATTACTTGTATATAAAAGAAAAAATTCCTATTTTTATCAATATTTACAGCAATTGCTATGAATAAAAGGATTAAAATAAAACACACAAAAACTAAAATAAAAGTATGAAGCTTTGAATGTGCTTGATTAATAACCATTGTGCTGACACGTGCTACTGTACAATTTAGATTAATGATTTCTTAACGCGAATGATTTTGGTGGACATAATCATCATTGAAATCTTCATGATTTTGGTTGTTGCTATTTTCAATTACATTGTTGCTGCTGTTTTCATTTGTGTTAAGCCAGGTAAAAGCACTAATTAATTGTTCAATAGATAGATCATTATCGACAAATTGTGGTTTATGATTCTGGTAATTAGAATCAGGTTGAATCTCGTTAATATAATTAATAGGTTGAATATTATTTTGATGAATTTTAGTAAGAGGTGTGTTACATAGATATCGGTTTCTAAATTCTGACTTTTCTGCTTTGTATAAAGACATTTTTACTAAAATGAGATTTCTTAAAGTAAAAAAAAATCTAAAGTATTTGAACTGTATTTATATATTTTAGACAAGAACAAAAAACATGTATGAATTTTTTTGATTACTTTAAAACATCAAACAATTAGCATCAATTAAACAATTACCACAAACAAAAACGTGAAGTCAAAAAAGTATGAACAATTACTGTAGATTTTGAGTATCCAGAATTCTGAAGTGCATAAATCTGTTTGATCTAAAAAAATTTTTTGTATTGTATTTTGTTTTTACTTTACTGAGACAATACAAAAAAAAAAAAATTTATAGCGAGCAGATTTACGCATCCCTGAATTCTGGACATGCTAATTCTAATTTTTATTGTTATCTACAGTAATAGTTAAATACAATTTTGAAATATCAAAAAAAAAACAGTATAATCAATGGATGCATTTTTTCTCGTTCATTTGTGGATGATTGTCTAAGGAAACTGATATTTACAGTATTACGTAAATATAATCCTTTCCAGAGTTGGCCACTTGACAACTATAAGTTCTAAAGTAATCATAATATAAACTTTATTTAATTAGTTATTTAAGATCTTGTAATTGAAAAATGATTATTTTAGAACTTGTAATTGTGTCAAATGACTGATTCTGAGGGTTAATAAGTGTCAGTTCCCTTGGTAGTATATATTATCCTTGGTATAAATTGTATTAATTGAAAAAAATATAGTAAACTTTTTAATTAATATATAGGCATGGCAAATAAAAATATTTTTGGTGAATACGAATATTAAAATATTTGAATATTCATTAATTAAATTATAAACCAACAAATCATAAAAATTAGAGGTCTGCAACCCAGGCTCGTGCCTATGCTCAACAAAAATTCAGGCATGGGCATAAACATGAAAAGCTTTGGTATGGGCATGAATACTAGTATAAAAATTTGGCATAGACATGGACACAAGTACAAAAATTTGGCATAGGCATGGGAACAAGCATGAAAACTTGGCATGGGCATGGGTATGAGCACAAAAATTTAGTATTTATTAATTAATTATATGTTTGATACTATTTGGCACTTGTGTCTGACACTTTTGAAGATTTTTTTGCCTAGCATATTGTGCCTATGCCTATAAAGTACCTGGTATTTGTGCCCATGATTATAAAAATATCTGGTATTTGTGCCTATACCCATAATAATTTCTAGCACTTTTGAGCCTATAGATATGGGCATGACATAAGGCACTAGTGCCTGGCATAGTGCCAATTTGCCCAGCATGGACATTTGCAGAGCCCTAATGAAAATACTTACTACTAAGTTGTGTAACTACTAGTGATGGAAAAAATGTGCATTTTATAATGTCATTTTGTCGATTTTATATTGATCATAGTAGTATTCTCTTAATGCAGTATAGATATTTCTAAAATAATTATTAAGATATTGAGTAATAGAGTTATTAAGCATATGTAATATTATTCTGCTTGTTCTGCTATTATCAAGTTGGCTTTTATATATTTATTAAAATATTTCTAATTGCGTAATTCTTATTTTGTATTTTGGCCTGCTTTTCTATTTTCAATCAAAAGTCTTAGTATTGTTCTGCATTCTACTCTTTTACAGATGGTGTATCAAATTTATATACTGAGCTACAGTCAGTAGCTGTTTAATACCAATATATCCTTTCTGGTTTGGAATTTGCTGCTATTAATATAGTGATTACTAGTAGTCTATTTCTATTTTTCTTATTTAGTTGTAATTGTTGTTAGGCTTTGATTTGATTTGCAAATTTATTTATTTGTTGTAGTGATAACATTGTCAGATCTATATTATATGATATAGCTGTTTGTGCACTTAGTGGTAGAGCTATTGGTAATATTTTGGCTTTCTGTTAATAATAGTGTTTTTGTCAGTTTATTCTCTTTAAACAGTAAAGTATTATATATAGTTATTCGTCAAATAAAGTAGTTATTGGTAGTTTATGCGCCCATAAATAGTATTATTCTTCTGGCCATTACGATCTGCATGAACTTTTTTTTACTATAAATACGAATTTTATACTTTTTAAAACACTTTCTGATTAGCTTATTCAACTAACCCAAATATGCCTAATTTTTTATGCTTTACAGCATATATGTTAGGAACTTTAGGTCTATATAAAATAAATTCTATCCTAAAATTGCAATTTTATTAAAAAATTCCAAATCCACCTAAATTCTGTTTCCACTTACAACATATACATTTGGTATATTTACTGTTTAATGAGTATATTATAGATTTAATCATTCATATTATTGTCACAAAGGTTATACCTCATCAAATTGATCATTTACAATTGTTACATGATAATCGATATATATTACATTGGTGAGAAGAATTTTGGCTTGAATAGAAAAATTTAGCTACATGAATAATTAACATTAATTCTGTTTATATTGTTATAAGATAGATTTTTATTATTGTATTGCTTTAATGCTTTAAAGATTTTAATGCCTTAAGCTTGTGATATTGGTCGCTTAGTCCTTTAGTAAAACTGGTTGCTTAGTCCCTTAGTAAAACTGGTCACTTAGTCCCTTAGTGAAACTGGTCGCTTAGTCTCTTAGTGAAACTGGTCACTTAGTCTCTTAGTGAAACTGGTCACTTAGTCCTTTAGTGAAACTGGTCCCTTAGTCTCTTAGTGAAACTGGTCCCTTAGTCCCTTAGTAAAACTGGTCCCTTAGTCACTTAGCTCACAGATATATAAACCCTTTAAATTCTCCCAAGTGAAAAATAACAATCAAGAACAATCAAGTTGACAGAAACAGACAATTCTCTTTCTTCTTTATTCTGTAAATTATACCTTGAATCTGTTAGGACAGGCACCTAAAGATCATCCTTCTTGTTATTCTTTAATAAATGACTTTAAATATAAACTACTATGTAATAATTATTGAACTGCCTCAAAGATAGGTATAGTTTCTTGACAATATCTAACAGAAGCTATACTTCTCTCTTGGATACCGCATATACCCGTAAAGGATTCCCTGTGCTATGTCATTGTTGTAGTGTGGAAATAAGAAGGCTTCCACTCTATAACAATATTACTGATTCTTTATATTGAATATGTTCATATTAAAGTTTTCTTTTAAGTCATTTTTATTTGTGTAAGCATTTAGTACAGCTTTATAGTCCCATTGAGACAGAATTTTTTAGAAAGATAAAAGGCAATTATTTAGTTGTTTATGTATTTTAAAAATATTAATTCTTTTTATTTTAAGGTAACACATCAAGAGTTTTATCCGTTGTTGAAGATCAAAGATGAAAATGACTTTGCTGATTTGTCTGAAGATTTGCATACTATTGTTAAAAGTCTAAATACTTATGAATTAGTTGTGAGAAATAGATATGAAGATACTTTGCAATCCAATATTCAAGAGATCTCTACAAATCAAGTTTATAAGCAACAAGAATCTATTGAACAGTGTTTAATAGATTTTGATATTGCTGAGGATAATCAATATCTAATTTTGTTCCAAACTCAAAAAAAAGAAATTATCAATTTGTTGGATAAAACAAGAAATATTCTTGAAAAAAAGATATTAAATCCAAACAAATGGTTTGATAGCATCGAAAAGAATTTTGAGCTATTACAAAAATTAGTAGAGGATTATAAACGGTTTAAAAACCAAAATCATATTCCAAATACTTGGAAAAATTGCAACAATAATATCTTCTGGCTATAATCAATCATGTAAAGTTTAATTTGAATTAAATAAAGTATAATTATCTATTGCTGTGGTTTTAATTATCTGTTTTCTTGTATAGTAAATATTATAAGTACGAATCAATTACTACTTTACAGAAACTTGATTTTTACTAAATATAATAATTATATAATAATTATATTAATATTATATAATTATAATATTATAAATATATAATAAAATAAATATATAATAAATATATAATAAAAATATAATAAAAATATTTTTTTTATACCTATTAAATAACTTGTAAGAAACTAATTAAAAAATATTTAATATATATTTAAAATATGTTTTAAATATAATTAATATATAATAATTATATAATTAATATATAATTTAAATAAAAAAAAGAAATCAAAATATTTTTTTAAATAATAAAAGTAATAAATTTATTTATTATAATAAATAATTATTATTATAAGCATTATTTATTAGTTAAATAAACAATTAGATATTATATTTAAAAAATTAAAATAATTATATTTTTTTAAAAAATTAACTATAACCAAAAAATTTATTAAGTAAACTATATTTGACTCTCTAACAAAAAAGATTTCTTGTATAATTTTATATATAATTTATATATTTTAAATTTTTATTTTAACTTTATTATATAAATTTTTATATTTTAATTTAATAATAATAAGTGTAAAAACTAATAAATAGCTTTTAATTAACTATTAACAAGTGGTTTACAAGTAACTTAATAAATATTAATTATATAATATTTATATAATAAAAATATTTCAAAAAATCAATAGGTTTCTGTAAAGTATTTTAAGCGTCAAATATTAAATTTGAAATTTTTAATAAAGAATTAAATTTTCATATTAATACCACTTATAAGTATGTACAATTAAATTAATTATTTAAATTATTAGCTGTTAAGAATGTTTTCTATCATTTTGGATATGGCAAGCACAAAAATTTTAATTTTTTAGATTAGTAGCGATAAATTAATTTTTTATATATCGATATCAATCTATAATAAAGTATATTTTTTTTGTTATACAAAACATGATCAACTGTATCATGTGATCTT